GAGAAAGCCGTGATTGCCTTACTTTCGGGGGCCATGGGAATTTGCCAGTAGCCATCTTTCAGATCCAACGTGGAAATGTATCGGGCCTCCCGGAGCTTATCTAGAATCGCATTTATCTGTGGTAGAGGATATGCATCCTTCTCCGATATCTCATTCACTCTGCGTAAATCCACGCAGAAACGATATCGTCCATCTTTCTTTCGAACTATCACCACGGGACTACTCCATGGGCTATCGGAGGGTTCAATCGCACCTTCCTCAAGCATCTTATCTACCTCCTGGTTGATGACAGCTTGCATCGCTGGATTTCGGGGACGATATCTTTGTTTAATGGGGTTCGGATCCTTCAACCGTATGACATGTTCGGTCAGGTGAGTCACTTCTCGAGGACGTCGAAACATACTCAATTCAGTTTCAAGAAATTTCCTCAAGGCCTCGTCTTCGGACGTTTTTGGAGATACTCTCATTTCGGGACTTTCTGCGTGTACTCCCAGTACTGCAGTAGTGTGCCGAGTGGAATAGTTCAGTGTCAAGTTGGGTTGATTAACATCTATTACGGCTTTCCATTTCCGGAGTAATTCCATCCCGATCAACAATCCGATTCCTAGTCCTGGTAGATGGAGAAATTCTTCTTCGAATTGAAACTCCTTGATTCTGCCTTTTATCAGCCATGCGTCGGTGAGGGCAACTTCGGTTCCATCTGCCAACCGAGCGAGTTCGGTCGTAGATTGGCTACAACGCAACCCAAGTTCTTTGGCTATTCTGACGGAGTCATCCCCCATGAACGACCTTTCTGCTCCGGTATCAAGGAGAGCTTCCACGAACGTAGTTCCCAGGAGAACCGAAAAGCGAAGCCGGCTATCTCCTGGCTTACCCCTCAAGGGTACAGAGATGGTTGATACTCGGGTAGGCCCCGGTGTGGTGGCAGGTAGCGGATTATCAACTTGAGGCCTACGGCAACAATCTCTGGATAATATTCCCTGTTTACCACATACCGAACAGAATTTTCGTGGTGGGTTCCGGCATGCGAATCGCGTATGTCCTGTCTCCCCACAGTTCCAACATACGGCGTCCCGCCGTTCATTTCGGGTTTCTGGTCTCTGGGAAGGATGCACTCGTGTGGCTTGAGGAGGTGCGATCCTACCCTCTTCTGGGAATCGTCGGATTGGTGCTGGTCCCCCGTTAGGATTATACCTCACCTCAGTGGGACGTGGTCGAGATGTTTCGCGGGTGACCTGTCTTGTACTCGGAAGGAACGCCGTTTCTGGTATATAACACTGAAATGCATTTGGAGGCGGGCGGTAGTTATGTTCCTCTTTATTTAGAACTTCAAACTCCTCACCTAGTTCGATGAGTTCTTCAATGGTTCCAATATCTCTCTTTTTTATGTAGTACTTGTACTCGGGTCTGAGGTTCTGGTATATTCTCTCGAGTTGGAGTTCTGGTCGGACGTTATTCATTCTACGAAATAGAGTCTGCAACGCTGTAACAAAGTCTTTGATTGGCTCGTTTAGTCCTTGTGTTCGTTTTCTTGCCTCATCTTCCAGTCGCAGATGGTATTCGGAGGAAGCGAAGAAACTACAGAAACTTGTGCAGAAATCTTCCCAGGTACTCCATCGTTGCTTATTGTTTCTATACCACAGTAAAGCCTTGTCTCGCAATAATTCCGGTAGAGACCTTAACAGCTGAGCTCCCGAAAGATCATATGCATCCTGCAATTCGGATACCCTCTCTAGAAAACTAACCGGGTCCTTCTTTCCATCGAAATTTACGTTCCATTTACGTACTCGGTCTAATACTTCGAAAATCGGTTCCTCTGCGACGCCAGTTGCGTTCGGTCCCACATGATACGCATTAGCGGCTGGATACTGATCGTACCCAATATTTCTGGTGGGTATGGTTGTGTTATGCCGCCTGGGCCGGGCTTCGTCGTCATATGCCATAGGACGGTTTCGCCTTTCATGTGGGTGTCTTGCGTCCATGGGGTGATAGGTGAAAGTCGGGGGAGGTCTTAGTATTTCCTCCTCGTCGTCTACGGGCTGAGCAGCGGCGGCTCGGGTATTCATATATCCCCATACCCGAGGATTATCTGGCGGGTCTGCGTTCCTAAACTTGGGAAACTGGTTGCTCTCTCTTATTTGGTTTCTGTCTTCACTGGGTTGGTCTAAGAGTGTCGAACTGCGCCCTCTGGCCTCCTCTGGCCCATATGGGAGAGGCGATGTAGTTCGTGAGTTTGGAATGAGTTCGTGACTACGACTCATATTCCTAGTTTTCGGTATTGTGCCCGTATTTGATCGGTTTGGTAAATACGATTTGACTCGTGGAAATTGCGGATGTTCCGTATAGTAAGCACCATCATCGGACATGGCTCGGTTCAGGTCAGTGCTCTTACGCTGATCGAGTGGTCTCTTCATATACTCTCGCATAACTTCCCTGAGCTGTTCTACAGTTCCTTCTGACTGTAAACCTAACGTTCGTAGGCGTTCTTGTAAGACATCTTTTCTCAGATTATACATATCACTCAGCCGAAACTCTGTCATGTTGTCTAATTACTCTAGTAAACTGGCTAGCTTTGAAACGGTCCCTGCTCGGGCGCCAAATTTGTGACGTTTTTCGCTGCGGGAATAGCTCAGCGCAGTTGAGTACGTCCAGGATTCGGTTTAACTCACCGGTTTAACTCACTGCCAGTTAATAGAGTAAAAGACAGAGTAATATAAAAGATGCAAAATATATTTCCTATAGGAACAATTCTACTTTAGAGCTAGGAAGTATCTGAATCGTACTTATTAATAATAAAATAATCAAGTCTTCTTCAGGTTCTTCTTGTCCGTGTCTTCTTAGGCCTCCCTGTATCTGGAACTCACCATCCAACAACACTCGCTGTCACTGGTCCACTTTACCAAATCTCAGGAAACGTTCGAAGTACTGGTTTTCTGGGTGCGAAGGAGCGAGAAGCGGATTTCTCGCTATAATCGGACCGAACGATCGCTCGAATGGACTGCTAGCTATGAACAGTGAAGTGTAGATGTTCGTTCAATACAGAACGGAGAACGGATGGCTCGTATGAGCTAAGAGTCAAGTGGCAGACTTTTGGGCGGGAAACGGGATGCTGGTTACCAGCAAGAAATCGGGTCTTGACAGGAGTTTGATTCAAGTAGTCTCGTTGCATTAACGTATCTACCAAGAAGCAGGTCAACAATCTAATAGTTAGCGCATCGGGTTGTGTAACACAAGGCGGAGAAACTAACTGTTTAGGGTCGGATCTAGTTGTGCAACACAAGGCGGGGGAACTGACTGTTCAGTATCAAATCTGGTTGTGCAACACAAGACGGGGGAACTAACTGTTCAGTATAAAATCTGGTTGTGCAACACAAGGCGGGGGAACTGACTGTTCAATTGCTAACCCAGGACGGAATAACTAACTGGTCGTCTAGTAGTCTCGTTGCGGTAACGTATCTACTATAATCTAAGTTCTTACATCGAATCACTATCGAAGCAGGTCTGGTCATACAGGATGGAAGAAACTAACTGTTCCATTGAGAACACAGGGTGGAAGAAACACCTGGTCGTCTAGCAGTCTCGTTGCAGTAACGTATCTACTATAAACCAAATTCTTAAATCGAATGAATTATTGATGCTGGCTGGGTGACACAGGTGATGTCCAGGATACCGAACTTAGAGGAGTGCCTGGTACTTGTTTAACTGCTCGCGGGAATACCTCTAACAAAATATCGCTAGACCCAGAATTGAACTCGACAATGAAAGCTTCGAGTTTACTATCATGCAGTAGCTATGACGGATTAGTCAAATCTGGAAATACAGGAATAATGAGAAACGGAATGTTTGGTTTTATTAGTTTCGTTGTGATAACGTATCTCCTAAAACCAGAACATTTATTAACGCGGTGAAAATAACGAAAAACGCCGCATGTAGTAAATTAATTTTGACTTGCCTGGTAAATAACAGTCTCGTTGTGATAACGTATCTTTTAATACCAGGGTAATGAAATATGTTAGCTACTGCTTCTATATTGATAATGAAAAACAAAGAAAACCGGAACCTTATCGAAATACTTGGTTTTATTAGTCTCGTCCTAACGACGTATCTCCTAAAACCTAGTCATTGATGACCTAAACTGGTTTCGGAAATATTAACGGGATGTCAGGCTCTATTAGTTTCGTTGTAATAACGTATCTCCTAAAGCCACAACATTTGAAAATACGAAATTTGTCAAATCAGGATTAGAGCACTACACGAGAAGTAAATTCTAATTCGCGCAAACAGATTATTTGGATAAGTACTCACTCGAGTTAATTCTGGGTAAAACTGTTGAGTTAAGATTATTTCCGGTTAACTTGAAGTTAATTACGATTTATTCCGGGGCACGTCCTCTCGGTTCGAGTGGCTGAGAGCAACTGCTTTCGAAAGATTATTTCAGGTTAACTTGAAGTCAATTTCGATTTATTCCGGGGCACTTCCTATCGGTTCGAGTGACTGAGAGCAACTGACTCTGTAGCTCGCCACTCTCTGCGATCAAGCCGGGAGCCGCGCGATCAATCTCCCCTCCTCGCCGGGGAGTGTGCGCACTGGTTGCGTGAGACTGCACTGGGCCGCGACTGATGATTTCGATGGCTGGCGATCGACTGACTATTTTGCGCGGCACTCGACTGTGGTTTGCCTGCAATGCGATCCTCGAGTCTGCGCATGATGGTCAATGATTGGGGCCGGGTACACACGTTAAATGCTACCAACTTACTGAATTGTTTCTAGGGACCGCTCATCTCCGTTTTTAGAACGTAATTCCTAAGAATTCGTTACAATATTTTGACGCGACTGAAGGAATTATGAGAAAACCTGTTGGAACCATGAAAAGGGTTTTTTGTACTCAGCCGTATTGCCGATATTGACAGAGAGAATAATGCCAGTATTCGAAATGATTTCATCTAGTCATTATGCGAAAACAATCTTTAAAATAATTAACGACTTTCGAACATTTTCAGAAAAAAATGGAAAATGGCCAGTTTTCGGTAGTATTGTGACTGATTTCAGTTACGCCAATCTACATGCAATCAGCAAGGCTTGCAATCGCCAAACTCTTTCCGAGTACATTGAGCTGACGTTCAGGATTTCTAGTGGTACGGAGTCTGCGCCAAAATGGTTAGTGAAGATTTATTTGTGTTGTGCTCATATAATGAAAATGTTCAGCAAATATATTGAAGATAATTTTAGTGATAAAACAATTTCATCATTTTATAAAGATGCAATGGCACGGGCAATACTCAGATTTTGGAGAATGGTTCTGGCATATTACAGTTTTGTTAATTAACAAATATGATAGCGACGATGTCATACGAGCCAGAGATTATTTTGCGAAATTGAGCTCATTGGATAAAGAGTTCAAAATAGATGCGGATCACAATCAGACTGTAACTTTGGAAGTAGATGGGAATATTGAAAGCGAAGGTTTGCACAAAGGAAGTCCATTTTATAAACATTTTTCTGAATTAAGAAAAGGAATCCTTGAATTTCCAGACAATGTTGGAATGAATCAATATTACAACAAAAAATATGCTGATATTATTTTACTCAAATATATGCCCATTTGTTCTCTATGGTCAGGGATTATGATGGAAGAAGATCAAAAACCAGTGAGTAATTGTTATGCAGAAAATTACTTTGGTAATTTAAGGACACAAATATTGGGTGGTCAAAAATATTTGAAATGTTCTCGATATCTCAGAAACAGCAGATAATATTTCAAAGCTTTATTTAAAGAATACAATTTGAAAATACCAAAGAGAAAACTCACCAAGCAAAGAAAAAGAGAACACCCTGACGATGAATCTTCATCTCAAGAAACATATAGAACAAAAAAAAAAAAAAAACCACTGACACACATTTCACCGGGAAGTATTTGAAGATGATTGCACCATCATCAAATGTAGAAAACAAAAATCAATTATCACATGCAGAGACCAAAAATTCACAACAGGATATTGTCATTGTAGATGATGATATGAACGAAACAGTTCTAGAAAAATGTATGTATTGTGGATTTGGCAGACTAAATGTAACTGCGGAATGGGTGGAGTGTGACGGATGTGGTGGTTGGGTTCACAAAAATTGCGATCAATCATTACAAGATTATGGTGAAAATTATTTTTGCGAAGCTTGTGTTACAAACGAAAAATACACGTTGGATTCAAAACAGGATACGCGAAAGAAATATGGAAATGCCATAAAACAGCTCCATGAAGATAACGACTGTAGAGATGACATCGAGCGGAACACAAGGAGCCAAAGAGAATCACCCCAGTGGTTTTTGGAACGAAGAAAGAGAGTGACTGCTTCCAATTTTGGGAAAATAATGAAGGCAAGATCAAATGAAAGGAAAATAAGTATGGCTAAGACCATCATATCACAAAAAAAATTCGCATCGATGCAATAAAACATGGAATCGAGAATGAAGGAAGGGCAATCCAAAAATATCTGACGGAGAATAAGCATATTTACACGAAATGTAGTCTCGTGGTACACAATCAATATCCATACTTAGCAGGATCTCCGGGTGGACTCTTAGATAGGGATGGCATAATTGAAGTCAAATGCCCTTATAGAATAAGAAATGAAATTCTAACTTATTCAAACATGGATTATTTCGATAAAGATGGAAATCTGAGATATACTCATGATGTCCATTATCAAATTCAAGGACTACTCGAGATACTGAATAGGCCATGGTGTATGTTGGTAATCTACACATACCAGGGTATGTTCATTCATAAGATCGAAAGGAATCGTGAGATATTCAAATCAATGTTGAGTAGGTTGGATGAATTTTATAATTATTATCACCTTCCTACTCTCATTGAGTACGATGTGAAGAATGAGATAGAAAGAAAATGGAGACCTTTACATGATATTACATTTTTAGAAAACGGATCGGTCGATGATATTTTTTATTATCGTAAAAAAATAGGTGATAGGGATTATACTGTTGCTATTTTCGAGGGCTTGAACTATTATTTGAATGATGTGAAAGCATCGGATTATGTATCTTTATCTTCTTCGGTTAGGGATGGCTGGTTGACTAATTTTGTTGTCGACATTATTATTTAATCATGGCGATCGATATCAAATCATTTCCGAACAATTGGGGTCAGCAATATTTAGAGATGAGCCGCATATCAAATCTGACTACTTCCTAGGGAAAATGAAGTTCGATAAAGACTACATTGCAATGCCCATTTTGATCACCAATAATCACTATTGTCTAATTATCATTGATTTTCAAAATGAAACGTTCAGTTATTTAGATCCGTTTGGCAGCAATTCATCAAAAACTAATGAATTTTTGAATATATTCAAAAAATTCATAAAAACGTATAATTCCTTTCATTATACGGATAATAAATGTGCTAATGATTTATCAGCACTTGTATATGATCACTTCATCCAGAAAGATGGATATAATTGTGGCCCAATCATACTGAAATTCTTTCAGAATATAGTGAATCATGAACATTTGATGGATTCACCTGACCTCCACATATTCAGGGAAGAATTGAGGTATATGTTATTGAGAGAGTCTGAAGATGTTCGCGATAAATGTCTCATTTGTTCCAAATTCACTCTACCAGACACTTTCAAATGTCATTATTGCAAAAGACTCATCCACGAGGGTTGTCTCACGAACTCAAGTTAACAATTTTATAGGATGTAGGCTTCTCAACTGGTCATAACAGGTGACGCAATAGTCATAAATGACGTCACAAGGCCACTGTGACCAATAATTTTGAATGGGACCCTATGGCAAGTGACAGCTCGTTTGAAAGGTATTGAAAATACCTATTCAGTCATACCAATTTCATTTGGGTTTCGGCTGATTTTGATTGATAAATTGAAGAAATACGAATATTATAGTTTCGCATTTAATTAATAAAGATTGTAAAGTACGCCTCTGATTAATTGTCAAGAAGGTTGACGTGTTTGAATTCTCTACTTGTCAAAAGTGTTTATACCTTGAAAATGTACCTAAGCTATTGTTTAACGAGACGTTTAAGTGTTTACATAGGCAAAATGGTACGTACTGTAGCCAACAAAGTAGCAGCTATCTTAATAATTGGTGAATGTAGAAACAATTTCCATGCAGCGGAACGACTGTTTAATGAGAGGTACCCCGATCGCCCTATATCGAGGGTTTATTTGAGGGAGCTTCTTCGGAAGTTTGAAGCATCAGGTAGTGTTCAAGATGCCAAACGATCTGGTCGACCAACAATTAGTGATGACAAAAAAAATAACATAATTGGAGAAATGGTTGTAAACCCTACTTCTTCCACAGCCCAAGTTGCGTCTATCTGTGAAGTCAGTCAAAGGACAATACATAGGGTGTTCGATAAAAACAAATTTCATCCATACAAATTAAAAATGGTGCACCAACTTTCAGATGATGACCCCGACCGAAGACTAGAATTCTGTGAAACTATGTCCAATAAAATGAACCAACAACCAGGCTACATACAGACAATTTGTTTTAGTGACGAAAGTACTTTCTTTCTCAATGGAAATGTTAACACTCAAAATGTGAGGTATTGGAGTGACACAAATCCTCACATCTTTCGTGAAAAACATACTCAATTTCCAGAAAAAGTAAATGTTTGGGCAGGTATTTTGGGAAACCACATAGTTGGGCCTCTTTTTCTCAATGCTAACTTAACCGGTGAATTGTATCTGGAGATGTTACAAAATGATATTGAGGCGTTAATTCTTGAAATTCTAGAAGATAATCCAGATGAATTCAACAACTTGGAAATAACGTTTCAACAAGATGGTGCTCCTGCACACTATTACGGTGCAGTAAGACGTTACCTAGATGAAGAATATCTTGGTAGATGGATTGGACGACGAGGTTCGATCGAATGGCCAGCTCGGTCACCGGACCTTACACCATTAGATTTTTTTCTATGGGGGTAATTGAAATCTAAGGTTTACGCTACAGCACCTGACAGTATTGCCATTCTGAAACAACGAATTATTGAAGAATGTAGGGCAATTTCCGCTGACACACTGGGACGAGTACGACAAGAGTTTAGCAATAGGATGCATTACTGCCAGGAAGTAGATGGAGCACATTTTGAACACTTATTATAAGAACTGGTTCTTAAATCTTTATTAATTAAATGCGAAACTATAATTTTCGTATTTCTTCAATTTATCAATCAAAATCAGCCGAAACCCAAATAAAATTGGTATGACTGAATAGGTATTTTCAATACCTTTCAAACGAGCTGTCACTTGCCATAGGGTCCCATTTAAAATTATTGGTCACAGTGGCCTTGTGACTTCATTTATGACTATTGCGTCACCTGTTATGACCAGTTGAGAAGCCTACATCCGTTTATTTCCACCCTCCAAATTTCATTATTATAAGTATACCCGTTCAAAAGATACGAGGGGGGGAGGGGACTTTTGACTAGCACTGTATACTTGAATTTCAGAACAATTCCGGAAAAAGGCATCTGAAAATATGTACTGGCCATTTCAATGTCCTCACTCATTTTTGAAGATAGAGATTTGCAGTTTTCGCGACGATGCAGAGCTGGGTGATATCATCAAAGCCGGATGCGATAAGGTCTTCAGAAAGAAGAGGACGAGAGGCAATAAAGTACCAGTATACTGGTGGACAGAAAATGTCTCGGAAAAACGGAGGAGAGGAAAGAGAGACATTATTGTGGTAGGATTATCTTCTGATGGAGACACTCGTTGCCTTAAATCGATGAAAATTCTATCCGAGATTCCAGGATACAAAGACAGTAGTTCAAAAGCAGTCAATGCCTTTTCACCATATTTCCAAGTAAGTAGAAAGTGCTATTTTTCCTACATTATTTATAACATTTTAGATGTCCCTTCGAATTCGCATATTATTTTTCTATGTTCTAGGGAAAATTCTCGATAGAAGACCCACTAGCCTTTCAGGACACAATTCATATCTCCACAAAAATAAAAACTCGACTGTTAAAGCCAAACATACTATTGCCTATGGGATCTGATTTTGTATCAAGAGAACATTTAGAAAGACTCATTAAAGAGGAAACAAAGGATAAACATCTGCTTAATTCCAGTGACTTAGAAGGTATGAATGATATATTACCTGCCTAAATAAATAAGGACTCGCTTTCAACATAAGAAATCTTATTTTCAGGTTAAGATGAAATGAATTTTGAGGCAATTAACAAACTATCAGCTCCATGTGTTACAGATCTGTTATATAAAACAAATGATTTCAAAGCGACTAGGCAAATACTATTGATTACAAGACAAATTCTAGATGCATTTCTCTACAAGTCATTAACAATTGAAAGTAGAATATATTCAATATGGTATACTACATTTTCTCTCGTATTTGAGAATATGAAAACTTCCATATTCATAAAATCAGCCAACCTTAATTCTTCTTACGTTTCGTATTAGATAAAACTTACAAACGTGGATTTAGCGTTAGTAAGAAGATATTACAAATCATCACTGTATATAGAGACGTTTCCAGTTTTTACTGATTGAATCCTGAAACAAAGCTGTTCCAAGATATGTATGGAAGAATATTTTTGTTAGGATAAATGTCATTTGGACTATTTTCAATAGAATGTTCGTACTTAGGTACCTGTTTTATTCGAACAGTTTATAAAATGAATAGTAAAAGACTGTAAAATCAGGAAAACCTTTCAGGATTATATATTTTTTCATGGACCTGGAATTGTGTATTCGAAATATTGGCTGTATTTATAGATTACAATAAAATTTCTGTGATGGGGATATTTTTTTTAATAACATTATTAGGGGGCATACACTTTTGATCAAACTTATCGTTGCATTCAATTCACGCCGATGTATTTTAGGGCACGAGTATCATCATCCTATAGTGAATAAATATACCCTAATAAATTATGTAAAATTACCGTTACCAGAGGCGTGCGACAGGTTCAAGTGGCTGGTGGATCCTTCCCAAATGCCCCGACACTGGCAAAGTTACAATTTCACCACAATTTTTCGATACTCCATCACTATCTCCGTATGAATACCTCACACTTTCTTCATTGCGAAAATATTATTATTTTTCAAGATATGTCAAGCTTATCTAGATGCCAGAGATCATACGTGTATGATCTTTGTAAATGCTGAAGAAATTTGAAACGTGTACTAATTATGTCGATGTTGTGGGTCATTGGATTGTATTGATTACGCCTGGATGAAAAGTAGTTCCGTCGTGGTCGTACTAACAATGAATATAACAACATATTCATTTTGAAATATTCAAAAGAAACCCCCCTGCAAATCAGACAGCAGACACATTTATTTTTATCTAGGTATAGACAAGAGTAGTGAAATTCAACTGATAAAATAACAATCATATGCGAAAAAAAAATACTCGGCAGGCAGGGGTAGTGATTATTCCTGGTAGGTATCATTCTTTGGATGAAAATAAAGCCTTTTTATCATGTTTGATCGCGGCAGTCCTGTGCTGAGCTTCAGAAATAAATTTTGAATTTGAGGGTGGTGCATCGAAAAAAAAAATACTCAGCAGGCAGAGGTAGTAATTATTCCTGGTAGGTATCATTCTTTGGATAAAAAAAAGCTTTTCATCATGTTTGATCGCGGCAGTCTTGTGCTGAGCTTCAGAAATAAATTTTGAATTTGAGGGTGGTGCATCGAAAAAAAAAAATACTCAGCAGGCAGGGGTAGTAATTATTCCTGGTAGGTAACATTCTTTGGACGAAGAAAAAACTTTTCATCATGTTTGATCGCGGCAGTCCTGTGCTGAGCTTCAGAAATAAATTTTGAATTTGAGGGTGGTGCGCATGGAAAAAAATACTCAGCTGGCAGAGGTAGTGATATTATTCCTGGTAGGTATCATTCTTTGGATAAAAAGGCTGTCTTCCTCCATTGAATGACTACTTTACCGGTTACATCAATTCCTTAGATTTCGATACAGGGTACATCAAAAATATTAAAATTTGTCGCTGAATAACTAACACCCTATATAAAATTTAGCGTTCAAATTTCGTATGGGAGTATTTCAGCTATGCTTGAACCGGATAGGCTAGTCACAGTTTTGAAAAAAAATTGCCTAATAGTCGAACAAACCAAGGTAGGCTTTGCAAATCTGAATATTTCAAATTTTTCCACATTCTCGAATAGAAATCGTTGAGTACCTACTATCACATGGAATTTTCAATGCGTGGCACCACTCACTTTTGTAAAGGAGACAAAATTAAGTGAATACTTATTATTCATGTTATTTGAATGTGGTTTTTTCACTTGCTTCAGAGTTGCTCCGTAAATTACTATGGAGAACAAGAAGTACGGTTATCGGTGGAAACTGATTAAGAAGGGTCTTCAGAATAAGGTGACTATTAAATGTAAGTGATGTGCAAGCTATATCCAGCAATGTGATCGAACAGACAGAATCAAATGAGTATGTTACATTGAATCCGCTGAGCCTCTACAATGCTGATATCTCCAAATCTGGTTCAATTGCTGCTTCGCCATCTGAAGATAACTTAGACGGTCCTTCATTAATGCCAGAACCACCTTCAACTGAAATTATGGCCGCTGAGGAGCCAGACTTTTCTTATTTGAATCAGGATGCAAATATTCCAATATTCGATTCCAATCATTTGGCATTCGGTTATCCCCACTTGCGCCATCATTGCCTCTGCTGATCCATTCAAATGAAATCATGAATGCAAACATTCCATTGATTGATTCTAAAAACACTGTTGTCGATGATCCTCATCATTATGACCTACCTGATTCTGATACCCCATCATCACCAGTACGCCACACCCAAGACGTTCTGGTTGCTGCTACTGATGAAGCACAATGTTCTTCAATAAACACAATCCAAGTTGCAAACATGCCCTTACTAGATTCTGACGACTCTGTGGACGATCCTCATTACTTACCTGACCCTGATACTTCATCTGATCAACATTTGAGCAAGATTCGTAGAACATTGAAGAAAACCTCAACTCACCAGAGTGGAGAAGTGGCTGAAGTCATTCACCCTGATGAACAATACACTAAAAGAACGGGAGAACTTAGAAAAAGGAAGAAGTTTTGAAAAACCGTTGCAGAAAGGAATGCTGATAAACTGGAAGAAGTTAAAACTAAACAACAGGTTGTGGATCATGCAAGAAAGGATGTGTTGGAAAAATTGCGGAAGATCAGCGTATATCAATCAATAGGGACTACTGGATGATGTCCTGGCAGGAACGTAAAATTTTTCTTTCGGCAAGTATTTCAACTATGGAAGTGAAACGGCGAAGAGGTTCTGGAATGTCGAGGACAAGGTCTTGTAAATACTTTTTGAAAACTGCAAACGGTGAAAAAGTGGAAATCTGCGAAGTGTTCTTTCTAACTACACTGGGATAGAATCGCAAAAACGACCGAGCTATCACCAATGTTATTAATAAGGAAAGTAATGCTACGAGCGGGCAAGATAAACGAGAAAAGCACCCCAAAACTCCTGAAACGGATCGAAGTGTAATCAAAACACATATTGAATCTTTTGGACCTACCATTTCCCATTACAGAAGAGAACATGCGCCGAACAGAAGGTATTTAGCTAGCGATATCAACATCACTAACATAACATATTTTACATGGTTGTGTGTACTTTGACTGTATTTGTACTGTTTATCTTCTACTTTGTCAACAAAACTAGATTTTATCGACAATAAAGTATATTTTGATTTGATTTGATGCATAAGGATTTCATGGCAAAACATCCGGACATAAAGTGTTCTTACGAGTTATACAGAAAGTGTGTTTCAAAGGACTGTAATATTTCATTCACTAAATTGGGTCACGAGGAATGTGAAACATGTGAAATTTTCAAGATGCATGATCCAAAACATACTCAACAAAATCTAATACCAGACTGCGAGTCGTGCAAGGCATGGGAAAATCATATAAGTAAGGCAAAGAATGCCCGTGAAAAATACAGGACTGATGCTGCTAATGCTGGTTCCGATGAAACATCCCTAATTGTTTCTGCGGATTTAGAGAAAGTTATAATGCTGCCCAGGATCATGTTTAAGCAGGTGATATTTTGTCAACGAATTATTGTGTTTAACGAAAGCTTTGTACCGATTGGCAAGAAGCAGCAGATCAGACCTTTCTCTTGCCTCTGGCATGAATGCATCTCCGGAAGAAAAAAAGAAGACTTGATCAGTACCTTTCACGCTTTCCTCATCGCCATGCGAGACTTTGAGAACATAACCTTCTGGTTAGATAACTGTTCCGGACAAAATAAAAACTGGGCCCTATTTTCCTATCTGACATATATCATTAACTCACCTGAAGGACATACATTTATGGCGGCAGACAGTTTCCACCACCAGATGGAGCTATCTCTACAACAAAAGAAGAAAGTCTACGATTTTGCAGATTTTGTAAATTGTGTACAAACTGCAAATTCAGGCAAAGTGACCGTGAAGTTAATGAATCTGGAGGACTTCTTTGTTTGGCCCGATAATTCTTCCTCTCACAACATAAAACAATTGATTCCAAGACCTTATATGAAAGACATTGTGGAAGTCATTGCGGAGAAAGGAAAAAACGAACTCATTTATCGGACAAGTTTTGATGCAGAGGTGAATCATATGAATTTCCTAAATAAGAAAGCTATACGTCGACTGGATCTTCCACCAAGAATAATAATTAAACCAAGAGGAATCACAAATGAGAGAAAATGCAACATCGAGAAATACTTGCTTTCTTTAATACCACAAAATAGACGAGTATTTTGGGAAACACTTCCTGTTGATGACAACGCGATCGACCTAAGAAATACAGATGAAAAGGAATGATAAATTATATATATACATATATATATATATATAAAAATACATTAACTTTAGAAACAGTTCCAAAGGAAATCTTTCTAGGTGAGGTTGCAGTCAAAATTTTGGCCTTAATGAGAGGACTCTTTGTTACATAGCCGAGCTTTCGGAAATGTTTATTTCCTTTATCAAGACATCTATAAAAAATGGGTAAGTGAAAAAACTTTGTCAATAATACATTTAAAAAAGTACTTACTAACGTGAGATTGGTGTAAAACACAATGAAATACATAACAGTAGCATCTTCAGCTGAATTTGACGATTAAAACATTTTTTAATTTTATAATTTTAGGATAAAAAACAATAGGAATCAATCCACAGGTTTCATTTCTTTTCCGTAACGGACCTTTGAAAACAAAATGGACGGTTGGAAGAGTCGGAAATGCCAACTACTTCGGTGGAAATCGTTTCAGACCGACGACCGTTGTGAGAGAAGAAAGGGAACCGTGGCGGTAAATTTGAAAATTAATTGGGTGGTGAGACAAGAAATTAAGGTTGAGGAATTGTTTGTGATAATCTAACTATGTTATTAGGAATACAATTTTTTTGTTCTATTGCAAGTAAATAATTATAAATGCTACTCAAGTTGCCAATGTCTGTTCTTTTGTTCATTTTCGAAAGTTCATTATTGATAAAAACCATTTCAAGAAAATTTCGTTTGAGATAATTATTTTCATGAGCTAAAATTTTGACATCATTGAAATTCATATGGTGACCTACATCATTAACATGCTCTGCTAATGCACAAGTTCTTTTATTACATTTGCTGTCACTCTTATGTGAAATTATGCGTCCTGATAAATTCCTGGAAGTTTGGCCAATATAAGTCAATTCACAATTCTGACAAGGAATTCTGTATACCACATTAGTCATTTCTAATTTATTCATGGGAGATTTTGTTTTGGTGAAAAGAGAGGAGACAGTTTTAATTGTTTTTTTAGCAATTATGAAGTTTTCATTTTTGAAAATGTTGGCAAGTTTAGGAGTTAAATCTTCTATGTAAGGAAGTGATGTATATTTCGGAATTTCTATATTTTGAGGAGCAACCGGAAGAATTTGTGAATTTGGAAGATTATTATCATTATTTTCTATGATTCTAATTTCTGAATTGAACAAAATGTTATTGATTATTTTAATTGGATAAGAATTCTCAAGTAATATGTTCCTTAATTCATTCAAACTATTTTGCCTGTGCAAAGGATGTGTCAACTTGACCACTCTGTCTTTCAAGGCCTTGATCAAATTTAACTTCATTTTCATAGGATGGTAAGAGTAGAAACTCATGAAACGATTGCTGCACATGGGTTTTCTATACCATTTGGTGCGTAAGACATTGTCATTAGCTCTAATGACAGTCATGTCTAAGAAGGGTAGCATGTTGTCAACTTCAGATTCACTGGTGAACTGTAAGTTGAGGTCGAAGGAGTTGAAGTAGAACAGGGTTTGATCAGTCCAACCATTTGGAAGACAAAGAATCAAGTCATCTACATATCTTTTCACAAAAGGAATTTCATAAGGAATGATATCTAGACAATCCTTAACCAAATCATCTAAGACATAATTGACAAGAATGGGAGAAATGGAGGAGCCCATAGGGGTACCAAAAATTTGTTTATAAAAAGAATTCTCAAACATTAAGAAGTTAGAATCAAAAATAAATTCTAAAATGGTCCTGAAAGTAGGCCAATCTAAGTTACAATGGTTTGAAATTGTATCCCATTTTTTATGTAGACTGCTGAGCACAGTTTCAAGAGGTAAATTTGTGAAGAGTGAAACTACATCAAAGCTGACAATGATGTAATTTTCTGGAATTTGAAAATCATTGATAAAATCACTAAATTGAAATGAATCTTTAATATAGAAATCGTTGTCAGTGTCATATGCAAGAGTCAAAATATTAGTTAAAAAAGAAGCTAAAGGCCCATTTGGAGAATTTATCGAAGAAACAATAGGTCTCATTGATAATGTTGGTTTATGTATTTTTGGGAGAGAATAAAACCGTGGTGCAGTAGCATTGTATGTTTTAAGTTTTTTTGCTGCAACGGAGTCAATCATCTTGTCATTTTCTAATTTTTGAACTAATTTATTGGCTTTCTGTTGTAAGGTACAAGTGGGATTGTTGTTAAGCTTTTTGTAATATTTTTCATCATTAAGGAGATCTTGGCTTTTGTTGAGGTAATCCTCTTTTGACATTACAACAGTAACATTACCTTTGTCACTTTTCACAATGCAAAGATTAGGATGAGATTTTAAGAATTTTTTACATTTGTTAAATAATGAAGTTAAGAAATGTTGTTTGGAAAAATTTTTATGTAAATGGTTTGTTATAATATTGGTGAATTGAGCTCTGTAGATATTTTTTAAAGATTCGATATATATATATATATATATATATATATATCGACTAGTAAATAGTGAGGTTTTGCAGCAAGTAAAAGAGAACTCTTTGAAGATTATCCAAGCTTTCGGAATTTAATTGATTCCATCATCAGGGCATACTACAATAATTATTGTCAGTGATAATATAAAAGTCAAAATTAAATTGTACTTACATCTACGTGAGGATGATTACTATGATGTTAACAATAATTTTCAAAAATGAATTGTGATACATCATCCAGGAACGAAGTTGTTTGTAAAGTTATAAAACAATTAACAATTAAAATAAAACAGTAGTAAAGTTACAATCACACATGTTAAAAACTTGAACTTGAACTTGAACTTGAGCTAGCTAGTCATGGACACCATGTGGCCGGATATGAAAAAATTAATGAATGAATGACAATTGAAATTAGGTTAGAATGTTGACAGTATTGACAAGACAAGTTGAAATTAGAAAATATATATATATATAGGGTGTTACATAATTCAATACAAATATTTTAATGACATATTCCTGGGGTCAAAATAAGACTTTTTTTTCCTATAAACATGTGTCCTAAAATCCACCCCCTCCAAGCTACATACATCGCAAGATGCGCGAAAAAAATCTTAAATATTGAATTGTGGCTACAATTATGCATCAAATATTTTGAAAATTCACAGGCACTTGTATTTCCAGACGATCTATTCATTTCTTGATTCAAAAATAAGGTAACTCGAATCGAAAGGGTTGCATACAGATTTGATGGCAAACATTTTCTATTTCCTCCAAAAAAATTTGAATTCAAACATCATCGGTTGAATTGGCCACTAAAAAATCATACATCTCAGTCTCTTGCATTTTCTTGAATTAGCTAACCGTTTTAGAGAAAATCGTTAGTAAATGAAAGGGGCGTATTTTCAAATTATTATACTAAAAAAACTTAGTAAGCTATGATTATGTTTGTCTCTGGTAACTAATGATTAATTAATATCTTTTATGCCAAACTGACATTGTGGTATGTCATAACCGTCATGTCACAATCGATTCACTTTCCTCAACTTACCATTGCGATGTCTGTAGCTTGGAGGGGGTGAATTTTAGGACACATGTTTATAGGAAAAAAAAGTCTTATTATGACCCCAGGAATATGTCATTAAAATATTTGTATTGAATTATGTAACACCCTATATATATAATAAATTATATCATTTTTGACTTTCATTTGTTTTTGTCGTAGGCACTAATATTGCAGCATCCCTTTTTTTTATTCCATGTCGCTTGTCTACAACGCAGTAACTCCCAAATTTTTCCAATACTGCAAAACTGACTAGCACCAAAACAAATTTTGAATTTCATATACTACACTAAAACGCAGTAACAGCCTATTTTTGATTAAATTATTTGATTCAATCAATTTCAAATATCAGAGTAGTCAGAAAAAGTGATCATCCATTATTATACTTAGTTGTGGAATATTACATGTTTGTTTACCTGCTCGCCCAGGAAAAAAACTTTAAAACCTCATTAACTCAAAAGCACTAAAAGTGGACATTCTGCTTTGTTAGTTAGGAGGGCAGTAAAGTACTCAGATGATGATTCACAGAAAAACTGTAGGTGATGACATAATATACCCTCAAGCACATAATTCCCAATTGCCACTGAAGAAAAAAAAGTGGTTACACTTTCAAGCGTTAAAAAGTGTTATTCCAAAAGACTGCTGGTCTTTTTATGATAATCTTCCGTATAAAAACGATAGTTAGTTTGATATCTTCGATACTTAGGTGTAAATTTATCTGGATTCAACACAACTGTTTGTGAAGGACATTTTATTTTACTTTTTTGCACAAGTGAGTTTTATTGTCAAAGTATTGAAGTATTAAATTCATCTCAATACCTCCTAACTTCCACATTTTTAGACGCAATATGTCCTATGTTAATTATAAATAATAAAAATTTAAAAATACAGAGAAATATAAATTTCCCAAGTTTTATTTCTTTTTTCAACAGTATAATCACAAAAAAAATCTTTTTTTATTATTTTTAGGATAATGAAAACATTTTAATCACTTCCTGTAAAATCATGTCTAAGTAAGATAGAATGTATTGTCACATCACTGACGATATGTTGTTAGAGATATATTGAAGCTACTCGATCCAGAGGGAGTTGAATTCTCGCCGAAAAAAACGATTGCGTCGAAGACAATATCGCAGTGAAGGACCCAATTATTTATGGCACGTTGATTCATATGATGAACTTAAGCCTTATGGCTCTGCATAAATGGTTGCATAGATTGATTTTCCAGACACATAATCTGGCTCAAAGCAGGATTTACTGCAAGCGCCAGTAGCACATATACATGCACCGGTCTTTTGGAATTATCCAGTA